TAAAGATCTAGTGAGGGATTGGAATACTCATTACTCGATTTCAACTTCCTTCGATTTCGTAAGTGGTACCTCCAATGCCACCGCTGATACTTTATCAAGGTTAGCCTATGATCTTGGTATTACTGCTGCTCTTGGCCACACTATCGATCAGCCTACAGTATTGGTGACTACTGAAGTGGGATATAACAATTCGTCAAATCGCCCCGTGAAGATTGATTTAGGCGACAAGTTCATCTCCGACGTGAAACTCCGTACCGATTGGTTCCCTCATTCATCGGACACTCACAACGATGAGTCATGGGTCGGTGAGAGCCTTTCGTCTATTCTACTCAACGGAGTTCCTGATGAGCTAACTAATAGACTTCATATTCTAAAAGATGATGATGGCGCTCTACTCACTGTATCCCTCAAATCTTTGGGCCCTAGAGTGTATATCCCGCCAGATTCGGACCGCGAACAAGGTTGCGACCTCCGTTCCCAGTTACTTCGTAGAGCTCATGATACCGCAATCGGTCATGTCGGTGTCACTGGCATGTCAGCGGCGTTGAAGGCTGTAGTCTGGTGGCCAACTATCTCCGGTGACATTGCCCGGTTCGTGCGAAATTGTCTCGGCTGTGCCCGAGAACGTGCCCGAGAACGTGCCCGAGAACGTGCCCGTCACATTGCTCCGTGCGGGTACTCGGAAGTCGTCCGTTCCAGACGTTGGGACACTGTCTATATAGACTTTTGTGGACCTGTCGATGGTTGGACCTACACATGCCCAAGCTCTAACACCGTCATCAGGCCTGCCAGCGTATTCGTGATAATTGATACGCTCACAGGATGGATTGAGCTTTGTCCATGCTCTGATCAGACTGCTCATACTGCTGGCAGGTTGCTTCTGGAGAGGTGGATATCACGTATCTTTGGAATACCTACTGAGCTGAGAAGTGATAGAGATCAAGCATTTCTGTATTCTATACAGTCTCGCATATGCCGCTTGCTGAATATTGATCAAGTCTTTTCCGGCGGATTATCTCCCGCATCGCAAGGAGTGGTCAAATCCGCTGTGTGATACCTGAAACGGCATTTGGAAAGATCGTTTACTACTGATCTTACTTTATTACTTTGGTTGCAGCGTTCGCTGAATGCAGCGCGTAAGTCCCATGCTGGGGCTCTGCCGGTATCTCCCGATATACTTCTTTATGGTGAAGCTACT